TTTTTTTTTTTTTTTTTTTTTTTTTTAAAGAAAATTCGTAGGTTTTAAACAGAGTCGATCATGATCCCTGGATAAGTGCGCTATAGCCCTTCAAGCTGCCACAGTGAATATTGCTTTAAGTGTTCTCTTCATCTCACTGCCTGCTCTTTGGGAGTTTTGCAGTGGAGATGGCCAGTATAACAGGTCTAGAGAGAGAAAAGATTCTTGTTTACTTCCAGGAACTCAACTGTTGACTTATTAGTATGACTTTAGCACTGGTTAAATTCAGAAATGTTCATTTTAGTGCTTTGGAATACAGTCAGAGTGATGATATGATGAGCAAATCAGTACCAATAGCTATTTGGTTGTGTGCACTTGGTATTATCCTGCCACTTTTTCCAGCAGATCATTATATGGGAAGATAGTTTGTAATTATGCAGATTCTAAATTCAGTAAAAATACTTTAAAGAATAAGGCTTAAAACTCTATCAAGCCCTAAATACTGGAAGGAACACATGATCTTAAGTCTAACTCTCCTGCTGTGTTTACAAATGATACATTTTCCTTGTTTATCGCACCCCCTGGTCTTTGCTGTTCTCCAGTTTTTCCATGACACATCATAGTATTTTCTCAGACTTTGGGTTTCTTTTATTCTTCCTAGAATCACTTTTCAAAGAACAGTCAGTTTCCTACACAGATTATGCATTCCTAGGAAATATCCATTCATCTTGGGTTTCATAGCTAGGGAGGGTGGATCTGAAGATATGATATAAATGTCAACTCTCCGACATTTGCTTTTACTCTAGGCAGTTGCAATCAGCAGAAAACCATTGTGTGGTTCCACAGGGTTTAGAAGCAATTAACAAGCATCAAATATTGCCTGCTGTTTCCTGACAAACCGAGGCCTGCTTCCGCTCCCTTTTGAGTAGATTTAAATCAATGTCATTATGTTCATTTCAGTAGAGTTATTTTGAATTTACACTAGGCAGGAGGACCAAATTTAGGCCTCTCTCACACAGCGACTCTCTTTGCTATGGTGACTTATTAAGAAGTGACCCATATGTTTAGCAGAGTCTGTTTAAACCAAAACCTGGAATGTAATAGGCCAGACCTGCCTATGTGTATAGCTTGTCCCTGGAGCCACCTCCTTATCTGAGCATGGGCAGTAGCTCTAAATCCCAGCTGGAGTTCTGTAGGAATCAGCATACTGCCTGCCCAGCCTGTCTTTCTGAACTAGCGCTCATGCTTTCTCAGCTGCATTTGCCACTTCCAAGTGCCCAGTGGCATAAGAATTGTGGGTAGGTTGCACCACTGTGCTTCTGGCTATACCCTATTATGGTTCACAAGGGAGTCAGACTTGGTGGGTGGATCCAGGAATGAGGACTAGAAGGGCTGCAAGGTTTGAACCGCAGGTTGGGAGTGACCAAGGGAAACCCAGGTTCCAAATTGATGGGCAGGGACCAAAGCCCAGGGTCCAAAACCAAAGCAGAGGTCTAACCAGCGTTCAGAAGTCAGGAGGCAAGCAGAAGTCAAACTGAAATCCACAGACTCAGCTGGACGGTTAACCAGGAGTTAGGGAGCCAGACAAGTTACCAGGACAGGAGCTGAGAGAGGACTGGAGATTAGTAAATTGTGGAGCAAGGCTCAGGTGCTGGAGGGGTGCCCCTCTTCTGCCTTTCCCCCCTCCACTTGCCCTCTACACTCCTGCAGCCTGTCCCCCTGACTTCTCCTCCTCTCTTGCCCCCATGCCTTGGTCTTTTTTTCAGTGCCTGCCCTCAGTAACTTGCTAGCTGCACCCTGCACCCTGCCCACCCCTACCTGTTGCCGTCTGTGCCGGCTTCTCTGCCGCCTGCCTCCCCCACCTATTGTACCTTGTGACTGTACCTGACCCACACCTCATGCCTCCCCACCTCTTCCACCTCTGCACCTTCTGAGCAATAGCTCTGGCTCTGGGGCAACCAGCAGTGGCTCTGGCACTGGCCCTGGACCTGTACCCAGCTCAAGCCCAGTTAGGGAGAAGTGGCAGCAGCTCTGGGCCAGAACCAGAGGTAAGCAGCAGGGGTGAGGTGCTGGGGAGCAAGAGAAGGGGGGAGACCATGCAGCCTGTCCCCTATACTTTGCTCAAGCTGCACACTATGGGTCTCCCCCATGCACCCACCAACATTCAGGCTTCCCTGTGCTCCCCCTACTGTGTGCCTCTATCCCCACCACATAAGCTGCTCAGCTCCAGCTTCAGCCCTGGGCCTGGGCCTGGAGCTGAGCTGCTGCTTGTCCTGGGCTGGTACCTGAATCTGAGACAAGGTGTCCTCCCCTGCATGTTGATCCTTATCTTGCATTTGAATAAATATGGTATTTTTTGCTGTTTAGAGTCTCATTTATTGCTATCTGTGCACTGTGTTAAAATTTTAGTAGAGACTGCATTTGGTGTTTGTCAGGATGGCCCCCTCAGACAGAAGCCTCTATTAAGGATGGTCCATAAATGCCTGGAAATATTAATACTTTTAAAAAATGTTTATGGGACTTTCAAATAATGAAGCCATATTAGTTATTTAAGGGAAGTATTTTAAGGCTGACCATTCTACCTAGGAACAATGATGTGAAACTGAGAAAGAAAAATGTTCCAATCTCCAAAGTATTTTATACTGTGTTTTTGTCTTTTTGGGACAAGAGGGGACTCTTTATTGTTTGTCTTGCATGTAATGTGACTAGCAGTAGCTCCCAAGTTTACAGACCACAATCCTACTTTGGAAGAGGTTGTTAAATGAGATGGGCTAGCAGATGTTCACGGCCTCTATATTCTCTAATTCTGTAACCAGATTTAGCATGTTTGTAGTTGAAGTTGTTTTCAGAGCCTTCTATATAAGAGACTCTACCATAACACCACTTGGAGCCTCGCCTCTACACTTTACTATTCTGAGTAATTGGTTGAATCCTTAGGGGTTCCTGGGAAATATGCGTATTCAATCATCTTCAAGTATTTCTCAAAGCCCACTAATCCTGACATGTTATATAAATCCTACACCTGCCAAAGACAGTTCAACAGACAGTGCATTCTTAGACCTATATCCTAATAATATACTTAGGAAGGGGTGTCCCAAAGCCCCAAACATGTGATGTCTTTGTGCTAGCTATTCCCATATGCCCCATGAAAGTTTTACCTTGGAATGTGCAGTATGCCATGCATCAGACACTGTCAAACAGCCTTGGTGCAGGGAGACTTTCTCCTATCTATTTACTTGAAGTTTTCTATAGTCTTTGCAGGTGAGATGCAAATCCAGCAGCTATTCGCACAACCATGTTAAAGCCTTTTCAAATACTTGCATTTAAGTCATTGTTAGGTTTCAGAGTCAGAACCCCAATGAGATAGATGTGGCAATTTGTAATTCTCAGAGATCTGTTATATCAGACTGTCTACAGATACAGATCTAAATTTATGTCCTAAACATACTTTGAAGGATTTCTTCAGAAACCAATGGGCTTTATTTGTTTTTAAAAAGGGAAATCTTAGATTTTGGAGCACATGAGAGTAGTGGACACCAGAGAAATGTACCATCTTGCTGACCCAATATTGTGAGTTCCAGTGTGAGCCCTGGTCAGCAGTAAACAAGGACCTTGGAAAAAGATGAAAATGAAAGGAAGCGGAAGTATCTCTGAGAACTTGGGCCCCAATCCTCGTGCATACTTGGGCAAGGCAGTGTTGAGTATTGCAGTGCCAGATTCCTAGACACTAGTCACCCTGTGTAATGCTTTGTCTGTAGTTAGGTGCCCAGACTTTCTAGACAGTACATGACAAGATGGAGGTCCCTAGGGAAGGTATTTTCAGCAATAAGAATTGGGGAGCTGCCTGAGCTGGCCATAAGTGAAATGCAGGAAAGGGACAGGTGTCCCTAGCCACAGGTAGGTGTCTTCCTCAGTTGGGATCCAAACCTATAAGTCTTCTCCTGGAGGTAGTTGCTTAAGCCAAGTTAGCTGCTTAAGCCATGCTTTAGAAAACCAGGGTGCAACCTCATAAGAGTCTATAGTTCAAGGCTAGGGGCAGACATTACACATAAACCAGTTTAAGTGATCAGAAACTGGTTTAAACCTGTAACAGAACAGATGATCAGTGCACATAAACCAGTTTGAAAATGGCTGAAACTGGTTTCAGATCAACCTTATTGAATTTAGTATCAGACTTAACTGATTTGAGTCAAACCGGTTTATGCAATGTCTGCCCCAGGCCCTTTACTGGCTTAAGATAAACCAGACACCCCTAGCATCCTGGCATACTCTCTGGGCTGGGCAGGGCTCTCTGCTCGACAGCAGAGGTGGCCCCACCTCTTTGCTCCCTGGCCAGAGCTCCAGCAGAGACTTGCAAGCACAGAGCATCTCCCTGGCTTCTCCCTGCTAAGCAGGGATTATTCCCCCCTCCCCTCTGCCTTACACAGACACCTCAGCATTAACTAGCAGACCACATGCTGGCTATGGTCCGTGCTGTGGGAGATGATAGGCTTTTTGGAGCTAATCAGCAGGTAGCTT